TCAATGTGATTAAACCAATCACCCAACAACTATTCGAGTTATCATATGGAGATATTTTGAAGATGGTGCTCAACTTGAGTCTTGATTGTGAAAGTTTGAAGAAAACATTGGATATGTACACATTGGACTCCGAAGTTGAAGAGATTGTGAAGATTTTAGAAGTTAACAGTTCCACAAAGAAGGATATTTCTCAAGTTTCCTTATCTCATTCTCCAAACAAGATGCCCCCTTCAATAATCCAACCACCCACACTTGAATTGAAAGTTTTTTCTAGCCATTTGAAGTACGTTTATCTAGGTCAAGACAAATCTCTTCCGGTGATCATCTCCTCTCAATTGAAAGACTTTGAAGAAAATCAATTGGTTGAAGTATTGAAGGAACATAAAGAAGAAATGGGATGGACGATAGCGGATATCAAGGGGATAAGTCCTAATATTTGCACTCACAAGATCCTCATAGAAGATGATTGTAAACCTAGAAGAGAAGCTCAACGACGATTAAATCCTCCCATGATGGAAGTTGTTAAGAAAGAAATCATCAAACTCCTTAATGCGGACATAATTTACCTGATTTCCGACTCCAAATGGGTTAGTCCGATCCAAGTGGTTCCCAAGAAAACGGGAATCACAGTTGTAAAGAATAACAAGGGCGTAATGGTACCCACTCGAGTTTAAGTGGATGGAGGGTATGCATTGATTATAGAAAGTTAAATTCAAGCACACGAAAAGATCATTTCCCTCTTCCTTTCATCAACCAAATGCTCAAGAGATTGCCTGGAAAATCCCATTATTGTTGCCTCGATGGATACTCGGGTTTTCATCAAATACCCATTGCACCCGAAGATCAAGACAAGACGACCTTCACATGCCCCTTTGGTACGTTTGCCTACAAGTGGATGTCATTTGGATTATGCAATGCCCCCGCCACATTCCAAAGATGCATGGTGAGCATTTTTTCTGAGTATGTAGAGAATATAATTGAGGTATTTATGGACAACTTCACGGTGTATGGCAATTCGTTTGACGAATGCTTGGATAATCTTAAGAAGATTTTAAAAAGGTGCATTGAGAAAAAGTTAGTGTTAAACTTTGAGAAGTGTCACTTTATGGTCAATCAAGGCATCATCTTGGTTCATATTGTCTCCAAAAAGGGAATTGAAGTTGATAAAACCAAAATTTATGTCATCCAAACCCTTCCTTACCCAACATGTGCTAGAGAAGTGCGATGTTTCTTGGGCCATGCGAGGTTCTATAGAAGATTTATCAAAGATTTCTCGAAGATCACGCGACCGATGTGCCTCCTTCTCCAAAAGGATGTTGACTCAACCAGTTTTGGGGCTCTAAGCGAACCAAAAATTTAGGGCCCTTTGGCATTTACTATATTTAATGTTATAAACCCTCCTCCTTTATCCGAGGCTTGAGACCGACAATAATAAGAATAATAGTCCAAACTTTTCAGAAAACATAACTCAAAAATCTGATACAAAATTCACAATACAAAAAACCTGATAAAAAATTTAACCCTAATAGCCTAATCGAGAATGAAGAATCAGTCCTGACTATTCTACTTTCTACATCAAAGTTTAAACATATTCAACTTAATGATTAATCAACATAACAAAATTTATCATAAATTATTAGAATATCACAATTCATAAGACACAAATTCACAATCATAGATAATCATAGATAATCAGCATTCAAAAATAGACAATTATCAGTTATGGAGAAGTAGAGAATCAGAGAAGGAACTGAATAAGAACATACCTTTTAACTTTTTAGAATTTAGCCTTTTAAATCATCAAATCTAGGAACAAAGAACTAAGAATCATAAGAAGACTAGTAGTGGTAATGGTTTTTGCTTCGTTAAAGAATAGAATCAAAGGGCAGAGATGAAGAAGAACAATCGCTGAGTGCCTGAGTCGCATTCAATTTCAGCGTGCGAGATTGGTTTTTGCATGCCTGCGTTCTGCAAAAAATCGAACCATCAATCCCTAATTGAATTTTGGGTTAAGTGGGCCCCTTAGAATTGGAGGCCCTGAGCAAGGGCTTAGTTTAAAACTATGTAAGGTCGGGCCTGCCTAAAAGCTTATACAAAACATCATTATACGTGTTTCATAGAGATTAACCATTGTGTGGAGTACTATTTAGGTTAGTTTATCTTTTTGGAATTTTGAAATGATTTAATGAACAATAAATGAAACAAATCTTATATTTATATACACATTTGAGATTGTCAAGTAATTATATACTTTATCTTCATAATATTCGCATGATTATTTTGGCAAACTCTAAATAAAATTTAATTACGTGTGTTCCATATATGTATTGACAAAAGTTTGTATTTTCTACGAAAAATCCTCGTCCTTAAGAAATACGTGTAAAATTATTCACTACTTTTGTTCATTTCATTTGACAAACTAAAATATATGAATGTTATGATTAATATATATATATATATATATATATATATATATATATATATATATATATATATATAGAGAGAGAGAGAGAGAGAGAGTGTGTGTGTGTAAGGGAAAAATACCCTTTATTTATCTTAATAACTAAAAGATCATTATTCAGAGATGCTAGGTTAGACATATGATACACGTTTAGTTTTGAAAATTTTATAAATTTTTATTAATAAGATGATCTAATAATTCTTGTTAAATTTTATTTTATAACATTATATTATTTTAATCCATAATTCCTTAAGCGGTTTAGAATTAAAATTATAAAAATTAGAACTATTGGTTAAGGGTCATACACTAAGGCTTATCATAAGTAGATTTGTGCAAAACATGGTCAATAATGTTACCGATATGCTTCGTGTGAGACCCGATACTTGAAATCCAATATGAGTATCCATGTTAACATACTTACGATAAAAGTAAATGTGAACATATTTTTGTGAATCAAAATATTTAGTATTCGTATAAATAGATACTAACAATCGGTTTAACAATCTCCAAACAATATTTATACTACATACAACCTCATCCTAGTGACTCACCCTCGGCCGCCGGCGGAAACGCCGAGGTGCGCGGCGTAAATCAGTAATCACAATTATTAAACATAAATTGAATAGTAAAAATATAATATTCTATTATTACCAAAATAGAAATTACATTGACAATGACTATTACTAAATCGTGACACACGCCTAAAAATCCGGCGTTTACAAAGGTATAATATAACTAACGGAGAGTCTTCTGAGCGAACACTTCCGACCTGCTAAATAACCTGAGAATACATGCATTAAAATACGTCAACAAAACTGTTGGTGAGTTCTACAGGTTTTGACACAAAGTATTTTTATAACCAAAAGTGTTTGATAAGATTTAGCCGGTTGACCAACTTTTATCAATATTTACTTTTCTATTAAAAGTTTAAAATAATAGAGTTATAATAATGTGTTATGAATCATTTATAAATACCATTTGTTCAAATCCAAATGTATAAAAGTTGGAAAATACATATAAGTAATTGACAATAATTAAGTATTATTTGACTTAATTTGAAAACCGTCACTTAACCGGTGGGGCAAACTCCTCCCACGTACATATTGTGTTTTCTTATAAAAGCAAATGGTTTATATAAATAACTTATTTTATGTAAGTTAATTAATCTTGTTTAGTCGTGTCATGATAATAATTTAGTGTTATACAACTTAATTTCTTGTATTGACACTAATCATTTTGAGTCTCAAGCTCTCCCATTACATATAGTCTCTTTCAACTAGTATCACTTTTCAACTAGTATCACTGAACAAAAACCCCGTATAAACCCAATATCAATTTTATACGGCAACGAAACAAAACTAGGATTTTATATGAAATCATAACCGAAAATCGTGACACTATACTTTATTATTGCACCGACACCATAATAGGGCGTGCTAAAGTCATTCACCCCGTTGTAACACGTGGTAATGTTCGATAATGCTAACGCCAACGCCAAAATTAATCTCATCAGACGTAGTTGTAGCTAGCAACTCCAGGCGGGCGGTCGAACCATATAAGATCAATAATATGACACTTACACTCGACGTTAGTCGTTCCCTCGAGGATTAATGGTTATATATTGTATGGTTTCTACTAAGTATTGAGATCTTAGCTTTCGCGAAACCCATAATAGTTTATAATGGAAACTCAAACGTATTGGATATGGTATGCGGAATATGTATGATGAACCTATATGGAATATATGTAGTAGGTATGATGAACCTACATGGAATAGGTATGATGAACCTATATGGAATATACAAAGTAGGTGTGATTGGAATAGGTGTGATGAACCTATATATTCCATTATAAATTCACTAGATATGTAAAATTATTCATCGTTTAGGAAAACGATAATTGGAATTCTTAAAATTTTAACTAAATAATTATATAATTTCATGGATTTAATCATTCCATCGATTATGACAATGTACTTTCGCTTTATACACAAATACTAATTTTGGTCATTTTTATATCTTTCCATGCTTCCATGAGATACTTTAACTTATATATATCCAATCATCATTCATGTGACTTATAATATCAACATTTGTTATTATAGCAATCTACTTTACTTATATAGTTTATAAATGATTTATAGCATTTTAGATTTGCTATTTAATAAGTTTTTGACCAATAATAAAATATGTTGCTAATTTGTGTATAAAATATGAAAATTATCTAAACTTTAATAGACACACATGCATTCTCCCACAGATATTAAAACTGTAAAAGAGGGGCTGTAAAAACTCACATTCGAAGCGTGATCTCGATCCCGATTCATTTTGGTGAAGCTTTTCGTGAAAAACCGCATCTTGACGTCTTTTGAGTTAAAACAAAGCGCATGACTATTTTTGTAATATTTTAACTAAAGGGACTTGTTTTCAAATATTTCATATTTAAAAGAAAAGGTTAGTTTGTAATTTATTTTACACAAAGGGACTATTTTTGATCTTTTAAAATTGTTTAGGGACTATATTTGAAAAGACTAAATCACATGGGAGTAGGTTTGTAAGGGTTTTATCAAATGGCTGATTTTAAGTTTTGGCTATACAATTGAAGGGACTGATTTCGACAACTTCATCAAGTATACAAAGGGGTCGACGCATCATCTTCTTCATCTGTTTTGGGGATCGGGAGGAACGAACGAATCGGAAGCGATGAAGGAGTTCCAATGGTGGTCATTCAAATCGCGAGGAGGGACGGGGAGGTCGATCTCCGGTGAGTCCTTCGTCGTCTTCTCCACAGATCAAGGAAGGGGAAAGGATCGAACGGTTGAAGAAGCAAACTGAGGTGGTTCGGTGATGGTTGTCGTCAACAGCTGTGATGGCGAGGGGGCTGTTCCGGTGATGAACCGTAGCAGCGATCAGTCTCCGACGAGCCTTCCTTGGTGCGTTTGGTTCGTCGGCAGCCACAGCTCGAGAAAAGGAAAGCACATCGACATTCAGGGGGCTTGGGTGGTTCCAATCGAAGAAACTGGCGAAGGGCGAAGGATAGATGGAAGGAGGCGATGAAGGTGGTGGTTTGCGATGCCGAAAATGGTAAGCAGAGGGCGGCAGTAGGCGTCTCCGGAGATCCTCGTGTTTCTTCTTTTCTGGCCCGATCGACAATCACGATGTTTCCCCATTGCTTTGGCAGTTCCGATCAACAATAGGTAAGAAGTTTCTTTTGGGATTTTGTTTGTTTTAACAGGAATCTATGGAATGAACAAAATGGTTGTTTGGGTTTGCTTTTGACAGAAATTGATATAGGAGAAGGTCAGAAGGATGTTTGGGTTTGAGCTTCTTTGACTGGAGGAGGGGCTGCTGCTCCTTAGCTCACCGGGAAACCACAAGAAAACCACCTCCAATGGAGGTGCTCTTGGCTTTGCATAGAAACAGAAAGAAGGGAGAGAAAGAGTGAGTTTGTGACTTTCCTATGTGATCAAAAGCAGATATCTAGAAGTTCTTGAGATATTGGAAGTACTTGGAAATCTCTTGGAGGATTGTGGAGAGGGTTTGTGTTTATTGTCATTGATATAGTAACGTTTAGTGATCTAGTTCAGATTTTCAGTTGACGTTGATGATAAATTTGTGTACAACAAGTTTTGGGAATGATCTTGTGTAGATTGCATTGCATATTATTGGCTTTTGATTGTACATGTAGGTGTTTTGGTGATTAAGAAAACTGGTAACATAAATGTACCTAGTTATGTATTTTGTTAGAATTTCTATTAGTCTTCATATGTATTAATAGTTTCCTTAGTCATATACATGTGTGTATTCGTTTTAGATTTTGAAGGCAATAATGTATATGCACAATACTTATACACTCCTATATCAAGGTTTAGCATGTATGATGGTAAGGTATTTAAAGAGTTCAGGATTTGTATATAGTAAATGCCCGAATTGCCATATATTCAATTAATTGGTATTTGAAATGATACAAAACATATGAATAAATATGTATATATTTAGTGTTTTTATAGACTTTTAATTACTTAACATATACACATTGTGTTTAACATAATTGTCTATTTGACATATGCAATATGGATTTTATAAGAGCTTTAGCCACTACATATTATATTGTTTGAAAAATACACTCTTCATACATATATGTATATAAATTTACATAATTTTTGAAATATTGAACTATTTTATCGTTAAGATTTGTCACCACCGAATTCGATTTCCAAACTATTTTCGACATGAATTACCAATAATAGAAACTATGTCGAAGTTAAAATTTTAAGGTTTCATGCTCAATCTGGTACAATTCTATGGTTTTCATGACACTGATTCCTGATTGTAAATTAGTACTTAAAATGAACTCGGATGAAAAATCATAACTCTTTCAATTCATAATATATAAATTTTGAGCAATTAATCGTAGTACCGTTTAAACTTATTTAATAAACATTAGCATACCGTACATTTGATCTAGATTATAGCAACACTTACATTAACTGATCGTCAATAATTGATCCAATTTTGTCAATTGTTACACCTAGTTTGTATTAGTGTATCTGTATCTGGGACTTTGTTATAATTCCCGATTGTTTGAGTTTGAAGACTTTTGGTTGTAATGCTTAATAATGTAAAACTACCAAAGTTCTAACTGGACAACGGTCGTATGTGTCCCTATATGAGTTTATACAGTACGTCGACTATAAGTGACTATATACATGTTTAGACAATATTCCGACTGTAGGTAACCATAACAAATGTTTAGACAGTACTCAGACTGTAAGTGACCATATATATGTTTAGACAGTAATCCAACTATAAGTGACCAACAAAGTTTATACAATACCCCGACTGTGAGTGACCAAAATCGACATAGTCCAAATCATCTTATCTTATGAGGTTGTCAACATGATCATATTAGAAATACTTGTTATAATTTACACTTTTGTGTCACACCCCCGAATCAGACGGCGGAAACGTCCGGGGGCTTGTGTATGACATCATCTTGAAATATCATTACAGTGAATATAAATGAAACATAACATCATCATTACCATGCATAATATAATACAACTGTCATTGTTTACATCAAGTACAATCTTTTAAATAACATGACCAAAACATTCAATGTATGATGTTTAACAGTACACAAAACAAAATCCCCTATTCTTGTTGATTCTTCTGCTTAACGAGTCCCTGAGAATACAAGTTATTTTGAAAACGTCAACATATATAATGTTGGTTAGTTCATAAGGATATTTGATAAAATGATTTGTATAACTTTGTAATCACAAGAAAATCATGTATTTTCTTAAAATAGTTTGGTATGTTATGTCCGATCTTGTATTAATGCATGTGTGTTATTGTTTAATAGATTGTCAAAAGCGATTGAAGAAGGTGTAAATAGAATATCCCCGGACAACCCGATGTTGCCCGTAAAAGAAGAATAGTTAATGTTGTCGTACCAACACCGAGGTGGGGTACCGGTGTGAGTAAGTTACCGAGCAATCCAATCATAAAAGAAAATAGATAATGTTGTCGTACCAACACCGAGGTGGGGTACCAGTGTGAGTAAGTTTCCTAGCAATCCAACATAATAGAAAATGGTCTTCCGCAAACTTCATAACATTAATTTATCTAAGTGAGCCGTTATAACCATACTAAATAATGACAATTTCGTCTGCCTTGGCGTTTGTGAACGCCAATTGAAAAATTGAATAAGGTTATAGTCACCCTAGACCGATATAGTCTAACTGTAGCGAACAACTCAGGTGTGGGTGTCATCCCCGTATAGGTCTATACACAAAACCCCGCTCTCCATCCAAGAGACTCTGATTATAACTATAGGCTACGATTGAACACTTAATAGATGTCAACCAACAAAAACTCACTAGATCCTTAATCGAATTTACGTGAAGATAAACACATAAAACTCATTCCAGGCCCAACGAACCATGTAAGTGAGCCACTAGGGCATCACTAAACATGTGAGTCATTTCAAAACCTAATATGAATGAGATTATATAACATGGGCCCAAAATATATGTAAAAAGACAACTAAGGCCCATTTCACATGTAAGGTATTTATAGGCCCAAATAGCACGCAATTAGTATACAAAACCTATCAAACATATAAATGGGCCACTAAGGCCCAATAACCTAAAAATGATCAAAATTAATCCGTTTGCTAGTTTATTGTTGGTTTTGGTTCAAGTATTCACTAAAATAGCATAAAAGGCCAACTTTTTGTAAAAATGATGTTTTTGTCCTAATAAGCCAAAAATTTACAATTAAGGCCCAATTTTTTTTTTTTGTAAAAATAACACTTTAGTCCCTATTTTGTTCAAAACTTGTGTTTATGGCTATTTTGTGGTAAAAATAACATTTTAAACCCATTTTTGTCAAAAATATCATTTATGGCTTGATTTTTGTGAAAACACACATTTTTCTGGTTTTTGGCTTTTATGACCTAGTTGTTGAAAATTTTGTAGAAAAATCATCGTAAGTCGAAATTTAGATCCGTAATTCTGGAAGTTTGGAAATTTTGTCTACTTTGTTCAAAATTTTTCTCATAATTTTTAATGGCCTCTAACAAGTGTGAAATTGCTCACCTTCACAAGCTGGTCCGAAATTATTTCAAATCTGATATGCAGTTTTGTAAAATTTGCCAAAAATTATAGAAAAATCGTATGAGAATGTTAGAGTAATCATTTTAAAGGTATAAACCTGAAATGTTTGCATGTAAAACAATTTTGAAAAATATTATCATTAAGTTGATCAAAACGGTCCGAGACTGGACCAAAACTTTTCTGTCAAGGGCTGGATTATGAGTCTAGTTTATAGATCTTTGAACACCACACTCCTTTTTGCTATTTTAAGCGTATAAATCCCAGATCTACAAGTTTACATGTATTATATGTGATAACACATACTTTTCTCAAGGTTTTCCTGTAGATCCAAGTGATAAACTTAATATTCTTCTCATATTTTTAGATTTATGAAGTAAATAGCACATAATCAACAAATAAGTTATGAAAAACACACATATTCATGCATATACACATAGATCTACATAAAGCAACTTGTATTCTCCCCCAAAACCAAGTAAAAATCGAAAATAAGGGGTATGAGCTCACCTTTGCTTGATGTTTCGGTTTTTGGAGAAGAAGTGGAAGAGATTTTTGGTCTTAGCACACCTTTATTGTGGATCTCGAGTTTATGAAGCTTCTAAGGTGTGAGCATGGAATAAACCATGTAAGAAGGAGTTTTTCATGTTAAGATGAAAGAAGATACTTGTGTTTGACAATAACTTACCAAAATTTGGAATGAATTGATGAAGATCCTTAAATCTCTAGCAAGTTTTTGAGATCTTGGAGGAAGGATGAGAATGATGCTTGAGAGTGATTAAGGAAGTGTTTGAAAGTGTGTGTGTGTTTTTTGGTTCTTGGCCAAGATATCAAGAGGAGAGGGGAGAGAGTTGGCGAGGTGACTTGATTGGAAGTACGGGGTCCTTGCATGGATATGAACATTATGAAGGTGGCACCTCCTAAGTCAACTCTTATTACATTTCCCTTTTTTTTGTTTAATTAATGTTGGGCCGAGATCTTTGGGCTAAGGAGTGGGAATGGAATAGTTTGAGCCCATTAACATTTAGTTAGGATTTTTGGAACCTAAACATATAATTTTCTACCCACTGGGCCCTCATTAGTGGTCACGGTCCAATGAAGTCCAATTGAAAAGGGTTTACGACCCATTAGGAAATTTAAAATCACTTATGGCCCAATTTGGCCCATTAGGAATAGAATGAACCATTCTAGGTCCACATGGCCCAAAATGTTAAGGTTTATGAATGTGGGTTTAATTAGAGCCCAATTAGGGTTTCTAGGCCCAAGATAGTCAAGTTGAAGGTTTATTGGTCCATTAGGCACAATAAGAGAATCCTAATCCATAGTGAACTTGAAACGGGATGTCTAGGGTTTTCAACTCATAGTTGAACATATGAGATGTATTGTATTAGGTTTTGACCTTCATCCAAGAGTTTGCATTCAAATGGATGACGTTTATTGAACATAGGGTACAATATTGTGACAACCCAAATATATTGCCGTTACAAACCCTATTTTCACTAACGGAATGCGTCACTATATGTTATTTTCGGTAATGTTTGGAGTCGTCAATAAACAAATATCTAGTTAATTATATGTTTCGATATTATCATAAGTAATTATAACTTGTAAATGTTAACCCCATTTAACTAAATAGAGTTATATTACTTTTCAACCACTTCACCCGGGTAAAAAGTTTTAACTCCGTTAAAACTTTAGCATCGGGTAGCCGTGTATCGGGTGCAATACCCGAGACATATATAAACAAATGAATACTACAACTGATCTCTTTTACCACACCTTCACCTCTCTCTCACTACTTTCTCTCTCTAGACCCGAAATCGACCCCAAATCCGCGAATTTCCGGCATCCAAACGTAAGGACTCATTCCCTATCTTAGTCTAAACATACTTCATTGTATTTAGAGGCCAAAATCATAGAAAACAAGGACCAAAGAGGAGTTTACGGCCTAAGAAGCCCCTTAGGCCGTAAACCCCTAAAAACTTGCCAAAAACCTCATTTTTCCTTCCTTTAAGCTTATGGACTAATTAAGACATATACCTAGGAGAGTTTGGACATTAAAACACAAGGATTTGAAGCTTAAAAAGGAGTTTATGGCCCAAGCTTATGCTTAGGCCGTAAACACCCCAAAAACCCCAAAAACCTTTGTTAAAAGCCCCAAAAACTCATCTAGGGTGTTTGGTAATTTAGTCTTGACACTAGGGAAGGTTTAAATGCATTAAACAACATCATTTGAGGACAAAAAGAGGAGTTTACGGCCAAGGCTAAGCTTGGGCGGTAAACACCCA